CAAGCAATATCACACGAGTAGCAGTGCGATATGGCTCTATATCGGCACGGCTGTGATTCGGCCATAGGTAATCAGTGTGCCGATATACAGCCATATCTCATGGCTACGAGTGTGATATTGTGTTTATACAACAGTTTGACGGCACGAGTGTGTAAATACATAAGAAACAACAACGGAGTGTCTTTAAAAACCCTCTTTTTTGCAGAACTACAAAATATAAACTATAAAAAAAAATATATATATCTCTCATGTTTAACCACTTTAGAGACATCAGAGCCCGCGACAAATTCCAGAAGATCTGGCCAAGGTGAGGCTGCTCTCGGCGGGTTCTTGAGTGCTGAACGGCCGCTGATGCCCTGGAGCTCACGTCTCCGAAAACGTTGAAGCAAATTTTCAAATAGACGTTATCTTTATTAACAAACCTCATATTTGAATCCTAAAAAAATACAGTCTCACCTAAAAAAAAAAAAAGTTTAAAGTTTAGATTAAAAAAAAATGTATTTTCATCCTGCAAGGAAGTTTTGAGTTCTTTGCGTGACAGTATGTTTTCAAAGTAGTCTGAACTCTTATCTACTGTGTTAAGATTTAAGGAAATGTTGATTCCTAATGATATGTCCCCTATAACGAATCAACAGATTTGTGAAATACAAAAGCAAACATTAGCGGCCAATTTTGATTTTGAAGTAGCTATTAACTTAATGATAATTTGCCCTTGTTGTTGTCAGCAGTGTGCCCCCAGGTCTTTGTTTGTCAAGTTAATGATCGTTAATGAGAGCGTTAAGCCTCTCTCACTTGAATTAATTAAAACATAATCCTTGTGATTGTGACAATCTCCTGCTATGACGATGGCACTGTGTCTGACAAGTGCTTGTTTGTGCACCCATGCTAATAAAGCACTTGTTCGGAGAGAAGTGCTTAGAGCATAGTTTTCTCATTTGAAGTTGCATGGTCATTAAGATGTTTGAAGTAATTAAGTAATTGTTTTGCAATTTGTTTTGTTCCATTACAAGTGGTACAGAGTTTGTGTGTTTTGAAGATAAACCAATATCAAGTGTGAAACCTGCAGTACTCAAAAGTGATTTGTTTTGTGTAATGTCAGGTCTACTGCCCCACTTACTATTATGCAAAGTAGTTTTTGTGTTTTCACATTACTTAAAAAGAGAAGATTAAGGTACTACTGAATTCATATAGGAGCACAAATGCGCATGAGCATTGGCACCAACGTTTTTCTAGGGATATACAGTATTAATCTCAAGCCAAAACCTAGATCACAAATATATTATAGGGAATTAGGGATTTATTTTACATCTGCATTCAATGTCCGAAAATACCAACAGGATTTTAAGTCTTTGATTTAGGCCAGATAAGTTTAGCAAAATCAAGGCTGCTGTTGAATGGAAGCTTATCCTCTAAACATCAAAGTTAATTCCTTCAGCTCTTTGATGGCTTCTTGTAACATTTTCTGCCATTGCAAATTTATTCAGTTCTGTGAAATCTTTCAGGATCAACATTAAGGCTTATCTCCACAGATCATGTCCTCAAACACATCAACACACAACATACATTTACTTGTTGAGTGGTTTGCTCCAGTTTAGTTCTGATGGTTTACTGTGGTGAATTTTTGTTCAAACGAGTTCTAACCAATTTTCACGTGAACCTTTCTGAGCCTCTAGCATCACAAAATTTAATTGTAAAGACTATTATATGACTGCCAACATAAAAAAATGTGTACTTTCCTACTATATGTTTTGCGAAAATGTCAAATATAAGATATATCAAAAATAAGATAACATAAAGCAACTAGAATACAGTGGGGCAAAAACGTATTTAGTCAGCCACCAATTGTGCAAGTTCTCCCACTTAAAAAGATGAGAGAGGCCTGTAATTTTCATCATAGGTATACCTCAACTATGAGAGACAAAATGAGAAAAAAAATCCAGAAAATCACATTTTTAAAGAATTAATTGGTAAATTCCTCGGTAAAATAAGTATTTGGTCACCTACAAACAAGCAAGATTTCTGGCTCTCACAGACCTGTAACTTCTTCTTTAAGAGGCTCCTCTGTCCTCCACTCGTTACCTGTATTAATGGCATCTGTTTGAACTCGTTATCAGTATAAAAGACACCTGTCCACAACCTCAAACAGTCACACTCCAAACTCCACCATGGCCAAGACTAAAGAGCTGTCAAAGGACACCAGAAACAAAATTGTAGACCTGCACCAGGCTGGGAAGACTGAATCTGCAATAGGTTAGCAGCTTGGTGTGAAGAAATCAACTGTGGGAGCAATTATTAGAAAATGGAAGACATACAAGACCACTGATAATCTCCCTCGATCTGGGGCTCCATGCAAGATCTCACCCCGTGGGGTCAAAATTATCACAAGAACTGTGAGCAAAAATCCCAGAACCACACGGGGGGACCTAGTGAATGACCTGCAGAGAGCTGGGACCAAAGTAACAAAGGCTACCATCAGTAACACACTGCGCTGCCAGGGACTCAAATCCTGCAGTGCCAGATGTGTCCCCCTGCTTAAGCCAGTACATGTCCAGGCCTGTCTGAAGTTTGCTAGAGAGCATTTGGATGATCCAGAAGAGGATTTGGAGAATGTCATATGGTCAGATGAAACCAAAATATAACTTTTTGGTAAAAACTCAACTTGTCGTGTTTGGAGGAGAAGGAATGCTGAGTTGCATCCAAAGAACACCATACCTTCTGTGAAGCATGGGGGTGGAAACATCATGCTTTGGGGCTGTTTTTCTGCAAAGGGACCAGGACGACTGATCCGTGTAAACGAAAGAATGAATGGGGCCATGTATCGTGATATTTTGAGTGAAAACCTCCTTCCATCAGCAAGGGCATTGAAGATGAAACGTGGCTGGGTCTTTCAGCATGACAATGATCCCAAACACACCGCCCGGGCAACGAATGAGTGGCTTCGTAAGAAGCATTTCAAAGTCCTGGGGTGGCCTAGCCAGTCTCCAGATCTCAACCCCCTAGAAAATCTTTGGAGGGAGTTGAAAATCCGTGTTGCCCGCGACAGCCCCAAAACATTACTGCTCTAGAGGAGATCTGCATGGAGGAATGGGCCAAAATACCAGCAACAGTGTGTGAAGACTTGCAGAAAACGTTTGACCTCTGTCATTGCCAACAAAGGGTATATAATAAAGTATTGAGATGCAATTTTGTTATTGACCAAATACTTATTTTCCACCATAATTTGCAAATAAATTCTTTAAAAATCCTACAATGAGATTTTCTGGATTTTTTTTTCTCATTTTGTCTCTCATAGTTGAGGTATACCTATGATGAAAATTACAGGCCTCTCTCATCTTTTTAAGTGGGAGAACTTGCACAATTGGTGGCTGACTAAATACTTTTTTCCCCCCACTGTATAGATACCAGAAGTGTCCAGAAAACAGACAATTATCATTTACATACAAATATTATCTATAGATATGTCTAAGGGGAAATGTAGTGCACTTGCAGTGTGACAGTATGTACATGTAGTTTAATAAAATAATTTTCAAATTTAATATTGTCAATGTCAGTTGGACACTTTTCTATCCTATGAGGCTTCAGGAGCTAAAGAGTCACCATATTTGAAAAGTATATTTCAAAGTAATTTCATAATATTTTAAAGAATAACAGCACTGAACCTCACTGACTTTCTTTGAACAAAAGGACATTTTCAAAATATAAAAATACCAAACAAGTCATACAGGTTTGGAATGACATAAGGGTGAGCAAATAATGACATAATTTAACTTTAACATCCAAAAAAGTTACACACACTAACTTTCTTCTTTGGTCAGACTTACATGAATTTGGTCTCCGGGTATTCAGTCTTAGAGAGCTGAGGGCTTCCCTAGACCACACGGCTGGATTATTGTGACTGCTCTTTCTCAGCAAGCGGCTGTCTATATCCTGTTAATCTAACCACAGAGGAATAAAGACAGAGGTGTGTCTTTCATCAAGCTAATTTGTGGTGAAACCTCAGGATGATAGGGTTGAATTTCAATGTCTTTCTCCTGTGTGTGTGCTGCGGTAGATGCTAAAGCGATGACCAACCATCACTGGTGAGCTTGCTATGTTTTGAAACAGAACAGCTTTTCCTATATAGATTTCAGTTTCTCTCAATAGCAGGTTGCAGCTCACTGTTCAAACACTCTGAGGGGCTAATGATGTGAGCTGATGCATAGGTCTAGCTTATCATGTGTCAGTGTAAACATGTCTTATTAAAAGAAAAGATGTACTCTCAACAAAGCAGTGTTCAACAGGGGAGTTGTGTGGGGTTTTACATCAATTTTTAATTGCCATTTACATTTAAATTGATTTTCCTGGCAGGATTTTCATTAACTTTAAACACAAAGTTAATGGTACAAATGGTTTTTGAAATTAATTTTACCATTGTTGATCCTAACCTCAGGATGTTTCAGTGCTGCTGTTCCTTTTTAAGTATACCTTATCAATGTAATTTTAGAATAAACAAGATGTGTGGGTACTGGACCTATGTGTGGGCGAAACAAGTTTGAATCTGGTTTGGGTCATTTCCAAATCCCACTATCCACTTCTCTTTATTGTCCCTGCAGAAGTCCTGGAAGAGTCAAATGGACTTGTCAAAACTGCCCCTGTCATTCCTCCTCCTTACTAAAGGCAAATAATTATAATAATAAATACAAATAAAAAAGAGTCTTGTAAATATTAGAAGTGTTTGTGTACTCCTATAATTTCTACCTCCATTTTAATTTTTGTCATTCTTTACTCTTTTGTCTGTTTCAAATGCAACACAACAATTTGATTTTATAAATGTTTAATTAATCAAAGACTTGCTAGCGAGGGGGTGTTATTGCTTTATCATCAATAGTCGCCATTTTGTCTGGAATGTTTTTCTAAGCAGTAAGATGAGACAAATATAAAATAACAAGTACAAACTCAAAAAACCTGATTTACTTTAAGCCTGATATAAACGATTCGCTTTTTCCCTTTTTTTTCTGCAGATGTTAATGAATGCGAAAGAAGCCCCTGTAGAAATGGGGGGATCTGCACAGATCTGGTTGCGAACTATTCCTGTGAATGCCCAGGGGAATATATGGGAAGAAACTGCCAGTACAGTAAGTACATGTTCTTGTTTTTATGGATGCTTCCTTCCCTGCCCCATTTCTTCTCCCTCAGTCCATCCAGTGGGCTTTGTATTAAGTGAATTTTGTGACAGTTCAGAGCATCTGTTTCACCGGGTCCATGGAGAAGCATGCAAGAACTGCTGAGAACAGACAGTTATACCCACACCCACAAGACACATTGTGGCAGGGTGAACGGAGACGGGCACAGTGGGTATGGCGACAGGCCTCAGAGAGAGGTTTATTTGAAGTAAAATGTAAATATTAAAAAGAGAAGACAGAATGTTCATTGGGAATACTGTTACATAATGAAAGGGGGCGCGGTGTTTCATGGGACCTGACCATGGGAACTTTTTTTCATAAAAAGATGAAGTGTTCATTGGGAACATGACGACCATGGTTCATGCTCCAAAAATATTGCTTACCCTCTTCCTTTCTGGACCTGTAAGGATACCCTCATGCATTCACAAAGGAAGAGTCTGAAGAACCCTTTGCAATTAAAGGAACTGTTTACCCAAAAATGAAAATGTACTCCCCTTTAGGCCGTCAAAGATGTAGATTTGGAGAAATGTAGCATTAATTCCTCATCAGTGGATCCTCTGCAGTCAATGGGTGCCATCAAAATGAGAGTTCAGACAGCTGATAAAAACATCACAAAAATCCACATTCTCATTCTAACATCAACCCATTCACTGCAAAGGATCAGTTGATAAGCAAGCGATGTAATGATGAATTTCTCAAAATCTGTTTCAATGAAGAAACAAACTCATCTACATCTTGGTTGGCCTGAGGGCGAGTAAATTTTTTTGTTTTTGGCAAATTTTCATTTTTGGGTGAACTATTCCTTTAATGGCAACAGTGACCAGGTGGCGACTTTCGATCTGTCAGACATTTCATACTATTCAAACTGGAATCACATGCCATTTAACCGTCCTCCTCACTTCAGTACTCAACACTGATGTACCAGACTGATATTTTAACATAATCTGTATGAAAGGACTGAAACACTTTGATTTAGATATGATCAGACGCTTTGATGAAAAAGTATTTCATCACCTTTCATTACCATTTTTGCTTTATTATCTAAATCATTGATCCAATGAGACCAAGAGAAAGATGCAGACAGATGGAGTGTGACTGAATAACACACACACACACACACACACACAGATGGCAAGAGACAGAAAATGACATTTGTTCACACTAGATATGCCTTATCGCTTTGAATCAAAAAAATATATATATATATATATATATATATATATATATATATATATATATATATATATATATATATATATATATATATAAACGGGAACAATTCAAATAACTTGGACTGTCAATTTAACACATTAATTTGGTGTGATTTATTATATATTTCAAAAAATAACACGATTAATTCTTTAATTGTAATTGTGTTCAAAAACAGCTGGACGGAGCACAACAGAATGAAATAGAATGCTTTTATCTGCCACAGCAAAGTCATTTTCAGTTATTTTTTTTATTTTTATACAGTATGTGCACAACAATACACAAATTAACAAATAATTTATGCATGATTTATCTTCATTTGGGGCTTTTATTCTTCTGAAAACGTTTTGTGGGATTACTTGTAAATAATTTGATTAATCAGCATATCATGTCAAAGAATCCAATTAGATTTTTTCACTGATTGACAGTCCTAATAATTGCACACACAAAAACTGGAAGCCATATTAAAATAAAATAAAATAAAAAATTGCTCTTACACACCAATCCCAGGAAGATGTATCACGACCTTCCTAGAATGAGTTTGACCAAAGCCCTGTCAGAAAACCTTCACTCACGTCTTCCCACACTGCTAAAATCGATTGCTGCTAAATTCCTCCAGTCGTTTGACTGACAGTTTCGCTCTATTCATTTCACCTTTTTGTCATGTTGAATCACTGCCTCCTCCTTTATTATGTGTGGCAAGCTGACACACTGCAAATCATTTGCATGTTAAAAGTTTAGGCTCTCTCTCTCTCTCTCTCTCTCTCTCTCTCTCTCTCTCTGTGGACACACAAGTCACATTAATTGTCATTTATTTCTTTCTTTCTTTCTCTCTTTTAATTTAATTTAATTATCGAAATTCACTGGAATTACTATAAAAGTCGTGGCTTAAGTGTCCAAATACTTTTGGAGGCCATTTTAGATCGGGAGACCTCGTACAGTAAATCACAAATCAAATTCTGCAAGTGTGTTGAGAATTCTTTAATATGAATTCTGAGTGAACTTGTATATCATCTTTGCTCACATATTCAGACTACATGTTCTTGCACAACAAAGTATCTTGTGCATATAGCTGCGAATGAGCAGAATATCAATTAAATGTGCAGTTGTCTAATGACAGGTTTTCTCATTATTTAAAATGGCAAAGCATGCAGCTCATAGCATATATCAATATCATGCCATACTGCTACAAGTATCTCAGACTGTATGACAAGTCATCTTGATGAACTGTCAGAGTCAAATCAAAAGGCCAATCTTTATACAGCGCTGCATTTACATTCCTCTGTGTAGCCATAGACAGCAGTTATTGGCTCATTGCTATTGAAGGGTTAATTGAAGTCTGCAGCAAGGGTTTTTTGTTCCCCCCCCCCCCCCCAAAGAAAAAAAGTTACCCCCC